CCCCTCTCATTCTCGTGACCGTTGTCCCTGACCTTGATATGGTCTGACTCACCCTACCCTATTACTATCGTATGGAGTTGCCTAATCTTATCCGGATTGGTCCTCAGTCTCACCTATGTGCACTTTGACGTTATTTCACTTATCGCTTGTTCGTTTAACGGAGTGGTGAACTCCCTTGTTTGCATCTTGGTTCTCGATTGACATTGTTTATTTCACCGGTTTAGGCATACCCCCTGGGAACGCCACGATTTGATGTGTGTTGTTTATGTAATTGTGACGCTTAATATTTACAGTACCGCATACTTATTCGCTATTGTTGGAGTCGAATAAACCTCTAGAAAACTTTGACTTGGCTTCTGAGGTTGCGCGTCACTCAACGTTGGCCTGGATAGTCATTTGGATTTAACAGTAATATGGAAAAAGTAAGTTGAGTACGACACGTAAAAGCGTTACACAAAAACCAAATTAACCAAAACAAATGTCTATGCACGAAGTTTTGATCGGCGCTGTTTAGTGCCCTTTGACAGAGCACTGTAAATAACTACGATCGAAAAACTCGTAGGATAAAGTGTAAAACACAGCAAAGTGACAATTTATGACAATTGCACTTTGCTTTTACGATCGACACAATAAGCGAATCAGAGCACGACAAAAGTTTCAACCGCGCGCCAACATACCGTCAGGTCAGCAGTTTCTTGAAGTCTTGAACTAACTGTCGGGTTCAAGGCTGGGGCCCAATGGTCCCGGATCATTGATGGCTTCCTGTCGTCTTTGGAGAACGCAACTGGAAAATCAGAGAAAACTGGAGGGTGCAAAATATCGTCTTGCCCGGGGACTAGCAATGGTGGTTTTACTGGCAACATTATTAATAAATGTAACAATTTGCTTTTGTTAATGAGGAAAGTCATACATAACTAGAAGAGGGCTACATTATGTATAAAAAATTAAACGAAAAGTCTTTCGTCTTTAAAAAATAACTTTTTTCGAAGGAGGACTCCATGTCCCTGAAGTCGATTGGAATGTCACGTGGGCATATGCTAATCAATTTTACCCTCTACTGCGCCCTGGTCCAACACGTCAGCCAACCAACGCGTTATCGCAGTGGGCAATACCCTGGGTTACTGGACCTAGTCCTCAGCAAGTACCCCAAAGACGTGACCGGTCTAGCAACCTCCCCACCCCTAGGCAGGAGTGACCNTGATTCTGGTAGTTTTATCATTTTGTTGTGCTCATTTATATTATACATGCTGTAGTGCGCACCTGATGAGATAGAGTAAAATACATCCCGATACAAATTATGCAGAGTAAATCTACTTTATCCCCTCGAGTTCATGGCGCGGAAAAGATTGATTCACAATAATAATGAAACCAAAAGAAATTTATATCGCATATTTAAAAGGGGGAGGTTAGAAGTGTTGTAAATGAGGTGGTGGAATCTCTGCACAGTACAACAGGGGAAAAGTATGTCATATAGTTATTTCGAGTGATCAACAGTTTTCGCGTCTGTTTCGCTGTGGGGAAATCGTTTAGGCTAATCATTAACAATGGAGGAATATAATCCATATGCATCTATTCATTGTCGTGTACATCGGCATAGAATGATAAGACTGAATTTTGCTGTATGTGTATTTAGAACCTAACCGGTTTAACATGGAATTTGTGCTCGACAAAGACAACCATGTATTCAAGAGAAACAATGAACGCGTGACCCACCAAGCCGAGACCAACTGCTGACAAGGTAACCGTTATCGCTGGACGTTGATCAAATAAGTTATCCAAGGTGCAATTTTCGTGTTTACTAACATATCGAAATGAACCATAAGGAGAGACTGGAGGAATGCATTACTGCAAATTATAATCCCACAATCTGCGAAGATCAAGACGAAATGATGAACAAGTAGTACAAATTAATAACTGGTAATTCTAAGGAAATATGCTGCGATTGGTCACCAATAGTTAGGACTTGTCCCCGTAATTGTATACATCATTTTTCGATGACGCAGATCCATTTTCAGTGCATTAGTCTCATGCTTAGGGATTCATTGGCTAAGCTACCATGATCAGGGGGCATTACAAGTCAGTGTTGGTTCAAATGACCTGAGAATCACTTGAGGGCTCATAGCCATGAGGGAATCTCCACATGTTACGGTCAGCCACACCGCAGATGCTTCAAGGTTTAGCACGATGATGTGCTTGCCATGAAAACTAAGTGTTACAAACAATAAAACCTCTGCAATATATAGAAAGATAAAAAGAATACATTGTAAGGTTGCATCATATATTACAGATCGAGTCCGTGGGATCAAGAATGACATCAGATGGAAGTGTGAACAGAATAACGGGATGATTCGTGATCAAAGCTAGTACTGTAGCGAGAAGGCTGGGAAAAAGGTCTATTGATCCGATTCAAAAGAAAACTGTGTATGCGTTCGATTATATACAATCAACTCTCAACCGCGCGGCGGGATGATTCACGCCTCTTTCTGTGGGTTATTCCTTGTTGGTTTTGGTCCGCATTTGGCACGTACGTTTCCTGTTCTTCCGCGTGCCATTCCAACTGGTTTGACCCGATCGCGGCGCTAGATGCGTTGATCGACAGCTCCGACGTAGTGGCATTCGGTGGATATCCTTCCCGTTGTCTGTTGGGCTGTAGATGTCGATTCGCTCGTTTCTGGTGGCAGTCAACATTGTCTCGAAAGGCACTTCCCGCCACTGCGTCTGCGCGTCTGGCTGGATGAGCCCCATTCTTAATTCAGTCGCTTGCCAAGACTCTCTTTGTACCGCCTTCCATCACAATATAACTTTAGTATATGGTGGGTAACAAGTAGGTTGACTTCAGCCATCTAGTCTCGGATCGTGGTGTTTCGGGGTGATAACAAATCACCAAAGGTTGTTTCCTCAGGAAATAGGGTCGCTTACTCGTACGTCATAATTGTGAATGGATTTTCTCTCTCTATGCGATGCCGGAAGATTAACTAGGTTTCGCGTGTGCTCAGAAGGACAACGCCACCATATAGTCCGTTTATGCCAGTAACATTTACCTGTTATACGAAAACATCAGGATTATTGATCGTTCCCTTCAGAATCTAAGAATATAAAAAATATAGAGCGTCACTTTTGAATTGAGGTCTAGTATTCTCATCGTATAACAGAAGTTTGAAAATGAGACCACCCGAAACCAACTTAGAATCATGCCTAACTTATATTATTCAGTTTGTGGCAATATAAGTTATTGCATTTAATCAGCCGAAGGTATTTTACTAATTCTGTCGGAAGTCTGCTAGATGCATTTCGTATCTTTCGGGCATATTTTCTCGAACGAAATCGTTCATACAAGATTGAAATCCAGGTCTGTGGATAAGAGTAATAAACCGGTGGGACAAGACCCAGTCACACCAAAGTTCGTGATCCCCTTTACACATGGCTCGTGACAAGCTACAGATGATGTGAGTATACCAAACGTAGTTTGGTAGAAAAGAAGAACTCCTAATCTGCTAAAAGGGCTGAAATCTACGGACTTTGATGACAGATTTCACGAGGTTTTAAGTTGATTATTCTCCCACGTTACTGTTGTGTGTCAGAAGATAAAGAAGTTACGAACCTCGATCTAATCCAACTGCAGTCCAAACACGTAACTGTAACGAGCACCTCTTTCTTCCCAGGGGCTTGGCAAATCAGGAGAAATTTTTATCCGCGGAAGAACATTACTCCAATGCGTTGAAACTCACGGAAGATCTGTACGGCTCAAATAGCAAAGAAACCATTCCAATATTGCAAGCGTTGTCTCAAGTGAGTTTGATTAGCCAGTCATCCTGAGGAGGAGTAATATGACTTTTCTTTATAGGTTAGGTGTAGCAAGAATGTTTGCTTGTTGCTCATAATCTGCGGTACAACAGAAGGTATAATTGCCGAGATTCCCCGAATCGAACCCGATTATCCGACTCTGTTACCAAACCACATACGGAACCTCCAAATGTTGCCATCCGTTGACCCCATGCAATTTCGCAGACTACAGAATCGAAATGGATCCTCTGTTGTAAAATACATGCGTTTTACTCGTCCGGAATTTAATTGTTTCCCGATTGATATGCTTTCTTGTGTGAGGTAGGATATCATGGTGGACGACAAATATCAGTGAACAATTTCTCCATTCTTGTCAACAAGCCCTGAAGTTTTGGCTTTTTATCGTGAGCCTGCTCTTTAGGAAGAATAAACCCAGAGCTATATATGAATTATTTCATGAAAGCTGTGTTGCGCATATCACTAAATAATTTTTCTTGAAATGTGGAGTTTTTCAAGAAGGTTATTTATTGTAAATGAAGCGGAGAATATAACCGAAAAGCTGCGGTGTGATAAGGGCCGAATTTTCAAGATAGAATTGATTTGTTAGTTTCATTTAGACC